CCGCCCCCACCGCCACCACCTTCAGGCCGTGAAAGCCGGGAGCCTCCCTTTGCGTGCGTACGTGCGTACGTGCGCGCGATTGTGCGAATGCGCTCGTTCACGTTCGCGGGCTATAGAGAGCCCGGGTACAACTGAAATTATGGTAAAATATATTGTTTATTATCATTAATTATATTTCATTTTGTTTTTATGTCCAAAATAAGACCGGATCGACACATTCTCGGCAAGTAATGGAAAACACCGTCAACTATTGTTGACTAGACCTAAGATTTATCTTCAGGCGTTTCAGGCTACTTGTTGTAACATTAGTATTATTTCTAGCTTTTAATTTGCTCTTCGTGACTCATCTCTGAACTTTTGTGAACATTCTTTTACCCTTAGTCAACTAACTAACTTAGCTTTAGGCATTCTATTTGCCGTGTTCTTTGCTATGGTTCAGTAATTGTTATAATTAAATATAATTATTTAATGGCTAACGTATAAGTAGCTCAGTGCTAGTATTGTCTTGTTTACCACTACTTGCTTACTAATTTCACTTCCATGTAGGCCTAATTGCTGTTGTATAACAGCAATTTGAATTAGCTTTTTGTTGACATACCATTTCCCTATATTGCAGATTTTTATCACCTAGTTTTATGTGTCCAAAAAGAAAAAGGTTTTAAAAACCGTTATTTTGGAGTAAATTTTATAGTGTCATCAAATCCCTGTTGAAAATAAACAATTCTCTAACACAAAAGAAACTTTTTAATCCTCCCGTAGTCCCTCTGTTATGACTGCCACAGGTACTTTTATTCTGTATTACACCTTCCACATTTGGTCTCCTTTACAGTCACAGTGCAGCCAGAGGTCGAGTGGAGGCGTCTCAAATCAATATACATTATCTCTAACATCAAGTCTGGTAAAGGTTTCTTGGCACTAATGTAAACAGACTTTTTATGTGGCACTTCTCAAAGCGTTCTAACATAAAAGGGAATTTTTCAAGGGTTTAACAAAGTCATAAGGTGCCTTTTCCTATAGCACACATTTCTTCATTATTACACTGATATTTTTTATAAAACTGTTTTAATGTGCTGTTATTAATGTCCAATTAAAGTGATGAGAAACATCAATGTTTAAACAGCTTTGTTAGAACAAGTTTTGTTCAGCACTTAGTAACCACAGCTGTAAACATCTTCATGTTTTGTAATATTGTGTCAACTCTTCTTCAGAAATGTGTTGTGAACTGAATAAATATTGTGTCAACTCTTCTTCAGAAATTTGTTGTGAACTGAATAACTCTACACATGATTCCTGTTCTACCTTTAAACTCAACCTAATGGGATTTACACCTTCCTTGTTTTTGTAGCCGTGGTGTACCTGTGATAGAAGGCAGCTCCTGTCAGAACGATGGAGTACTCGTTGGTCCATTTGGAGGTGTAGCCCCAAACGTGCTTGAGGGGATCCCAGAAGTGGCTCCTGGGTGGATAACCCACGATTCGCTCCGGAAAACTCCGCCACACCAGGAAGGCAAAGTTCACCTGCAGGTACCAGATGTTAGTGTGGGATTTATTGGCTGGTTCTGGATTTTGTTTAGGAGTATTTTTGGGACAGAACTAATGTTCTGTGTGGCTCATACCTCACTGGTCAGCAGAACCGTGTCCTCGTCCAGACTCAGCACTGCCTCTGTCTCTATGGCAACGTGAGGTAGGAAGCGACTGGTGGTCTGAGAGGGAAGAGAACAGTCATAAATCACAGCTCTGCTGCTCTACGCTGAGTGTTGGCTGCAGTTTGTTTGAAAGGTTCTCAGGACAAGGCGGTGATGGAGTTAATCATTCAGAGTGACGGGGCTGTGTGAGGAGACATGTAGATCAGTGGTTCTCCAACTATTACACCTCATACCACCTCAAAAAAAAAATATATGGACAAAGAACACAATTATACTGCCACACATAACAGTCTCATAGAACAACTGCTGATTCGTTATCAGAAGTCAGACCCACCCCCACCACTAGAGGGAACCCATATACCACCAGTGGTTGGTGTCCCACAGTTTGAGAACCACTGCTTTAAAAGAAGAAAACAAAGTGGTGGCAGTTTGAGAACCACTGCTTTAGAAGAAGAAAACAAAGTGGTGCATGAAGAGGAGGAGGTTAGAGAGAAACTGAAAGCCAAGAGGAGACAGGAACATGGGAAGTGAGTGACACTTATGAAAGCAAACAGCCCACGGGTCGGTGAACGTGTCAGCAGACAAACACGAAGCACAAGAAACAAACACATCAAGGGCAAAGAAGAGAGAGCAGTGTGAAAGGACGGAGAGTGAAATGTTTCAGCTAAGAGTTGGCAGGAAATGTAGCCCATGAAAAAATACCAAAAAGAAAACTAGCTAAAGCTCAACCCAGACTTAAAAAAGCTAAAGCAAAAAAAAAGTTAGAAATAGTATACATTTTTCAAAAACTAAAACTAAACATAAAGGCTGAAAATATATAATGATATAGATAAATCTGCCCTGAAAATGAAAGAAAATGCCTTTGAAACACATCTTTTTGACAAAGTGTCAAAGTGAGCATCTGCGATGTCGTCAATCAGACGTGCGTGGGTGTCAGTGTCAATGTCAGCCTCAGTCAGCGTCAGTCCTCACCTTCCTCTTGCCGTCTGTCACAGTTAGAGGAACAGGCGTTTGAGGCCATTTGCTCCGACTGGGAGGAGGCTTCTCACTGTTCCACAGGATGATGATCTGCAACAAGAAAAAAAACAAATTTGCTTTGGTCAGAATTATCTGTTGGATTGGAGGAGGTTTGTTGTGACTCTGGATGTTCTAATAAAGTTGTTGTTATTCACCTGTGAACAGTACTTGGACTTGGAGATGACCTGCAGCAGCTTCATGATTGGCTGAGACTGGAAGACCAGTGGAGAAACGGCATGTATAACAGCAGTGAACTCTTGACCTGGACTCACCCCTGAAAAGCATTGGGGTAAGGGGAAAAAAAAACAAAAATATGTCTGTAAATTATACATATATGACATATTTATGATTTATATTAGACATATTAGATGTATGTATCTTGGTCTACAAAAAACAAAACAAAAAAAATGTGCACCTTAAAAAACACATTTATTTCTGTTAATGAGTTAAGTCTCAATATATTACATATATTACATTACATATATATGAAACTCTTTTAAATATATAATACAATATTAAAAATATATAAAAATGATCCCATAGGGTAGGTGTGCCAACCATTTGAAAACCATTGGTCTAAAACACTGTTTTTTTATTCAAGCCTTGATCATTTGAAGAGAACTTGTATAAAGTGCATTAAAGAATCATCAAAACCCAGTTATGCTATGTTTCACTCAACTAGTTGTTTTTATGTCATAATAAATGACAAAGGAAATGGAAAAATATGTACAATGGCTCACAGTAGTTTGAAATAAAAACACAACACGCTGTTTCGGGGCAGCATTTTGAAATGAGAAGCGATGCAGACGAGGCGTTGGGGAAATATTGGATCGCAATGTCTCCTCCGAGTGTTTGTTACTCATCGTTACCACTGCAAATCTCAAACCACAAATTACTACTTGAAGCAGAAGTGGTTGGAATCTAAAGTACACTTACCTAATCCCAGGTAGTAGAAGGGGAAATGTGCCAGGTGGGTTGAATACTCGGGCAGAACCAGCAGACCTCCGGGCAGAGAGTTCCACATGTATTTGTTCCTCGATATGTGTGAAAACACGCGGTCCTTGATTATCTGGAAACAGACGGGAGAAATCCACGAGGTCGGTGATGTCAGTATTTAAGGATTTCCAGGATATATGGAAAAGAAAATCTGGGCAATTTATGCCAACTAACGGCCATCAAGACCCCTAGAGGCAGACTTTGGAAATGCCGATCTTGTGATTAGGAAATGTATATAACCAACTGATAATACATTGTTTTTTCTACATTTTGCACCAACAGGAGACGTCCACATGCAGCAGCAGCACCCCCCCCTCCACCATGGATTCTCTGTAAAGCTTCACTGCCCTCAGGCTGACAGACTGCACAGCTGGCCCTGGTGGTGAGAGGGCCCCCTCCTCTGCATGCTGTATGTATTTAAGCAGCTTATCACCAACCTCCAGAACCTCTGCTTTATTATCTCTGTAATAAATTCCCAGAAGAAAATCCACCAGAGGCTGCCAGACCTGCCGTTTTACATAAAAGTGGAATAACCCCCCCCCCACTTCCAAACTGAGTGATTTTACCAAGAGTAAGTCACATGGTGGTTTGGCCACATTTAAATACGGTGGGGGAATATCTATGAAATAAATTCCATGTAACCCTTGACTTCACCTTCAAACTGCTCTTAGTTAGAGCAAAAAAAAAAACTTTTCTCGGGAAAAAAATGTAAGATAAAAACCTCAGATTGTATAAAAATAGATAATGTAGCTATGATTAAAGTGATAATTTATTTTCATATGAACAGATGTCTTCAAGGAAATCAGACATTTCTCACATACAGTGTCATATACTGTCAATGTGGTAAAAATGTTGATAACCTTTAAAAGAAAGTAAAAACAAAACAAATACAGTCACAAAAAGTTGCTGTAAATGCTGCGAGGGGTTCCACACGGTTCCGCACATAGATACTAAATTTTATCTGTTTTAGTTGGAGTTTAAATTTGGTTAATAATGGTTTGAGAGTTAACTCCTGAACAAGGTGAAATACCTCCAGCGTGGTGAGGACGATCTTATCCACAGAGGAGAAGTAGGCTTCCCATAACATCTGTGTCTTCTGTCTGAGGGCCAGGATTCTCTCGTTACCAACTGCTCTCACCGTAGATGGAACCTGGAGGATTGATTTGATGATATATAGAGAGGAAAAAAAAAGGTTTGAAAGAACAAGATCTACTTACAGAAAATTAATCTAACACACAGCTGATGTCTGAGTAATGAGGCGCTGGCATGAAACGGCTGATTCAGGGGTTTCCAGTTAATCAGCAAATAGATCCCATTATTTAGAGAGTAAAGCTCAGTGACTTAATCAGAGAGAAATGAAGACACGTTGGACCGGCTCAGTAACGTGACCGGCCCTTAGGTCTGTACGTGGCTGAAATGTCATCTGGGGATTGTACGAGAGCTTAGAATTTCAAATAAAATAAATTACCGTCAAATATAACCTGAAAAATACTGAAGTTTGATCAAAAAGTATTACAGAAAAAATGGATGTAAACGTTAATTTAAACAAACTAAAATAACATGATAATCAACATTTTTCTATAAAGGGCTACAGACAGGCTACAATTGGGGGAAGAAATGCACAAATTCGGGTCAGCTTTTCATAATATTGTATCTGTTAAATCCGTCCTGAAGAATCTTTGAAGGACATTTTCCCACTGTTGCCCACATTCAGCCTGTTGTGTTAAAACTCTGATCGCTTGAAGCTGTCGTGTGTGTGTGTGTGTGTATTTGACACATTTGCAGGTTTGTTTTGATCAATGATCACACTTCAGCTCTTTTTGTCCACTCCTTGACTAATTCAAACGTTTGTTCTGCTGCAGTGGTGTTCCTGTCTGAAGGCCAATCCATGACATGTTGTCAGGTTGTGATAACGGTGGTGTTAGTGTTAATTCTTCTTCCTACGTTTGTTTGTTTGTCGGTGTGCGCATGTTTCTGTGTGTGTGAGACACACAGGACGAGTGTTTTTCCAGCTGAAGCAGGATTAACACCCCTGCTGCTGTTGAATCTCTGAGGTTCTCCTCCCTGTAATCACTCTGTGTGATGCAGGTAAATCCCGGCTCTGTGGCCTTTCATGCTGGACGTTAAAACCAGTATCTATGATTACATTCGAACCAGGTCAGGACCCTGTTTGTTAAGCCCTGATGTAAACAGAAAAACAACGCTAATGGATTTGATAGTGTAAAAAAATATATACTGCTAAGCCACTGCTTCTCCCGTGGTTCTAAAAAGTACAAGTTGGATTAGTGCTGTTCAGACTGTCATAAACCATCAGATATAGGTCACACATGGGTAACAAAGACGGATCAGGGCCACTTTGACCTGCAGTGTGGGTGTAGTTTTTAGTAACACAATTGGTAAATGAAACCACAGTTTAGCAGAGAATTGGATAAAAGCTAAATAAATAAAACGGTGTGAATTTTACTCATTAGATTACAACTATCACTCTGTGAGACACAAATTTAGTTTAAAGCTAGTTTAAATAGATTAGTCAAATTTAGCCAAGAAAAACAGCAGAGTAAGCCGAAACAAAGTCTGATTTTTTTTTTCCACCCAAACTGTTAGATGCCACATCCTGTACCACACTCATGTACCTTTCTGCTACTCCTGATGTCCTTATACAGATTATATACAGCACGACATTTCCTCTATTTGTCTCGATGTGTCCTTAGTGGAAGTTGAGAACGGAAGTTTAGCTGGATATACACACAGTGGTTTTTTTTTTGTAGATGGATGGATTTTTTGTTGTATTTTGTTCCCATCGTTTATGATTCGCTGTGTTTTAACACTAAACTCATCAGTGCCCATTTTGCTCCATTTTTATGGAGGTTGTTTTGTGACCGTGGGATGAAAGGAGTTCTATCTGGTGGTTAAAAACACTTCGCCCTGTTACCTGCAGCAATAACCGTTCGTCTCCTTCAATGACTGCCTGGTTCCACTGTATGATTTCGGAGAATGGCAGCTCCCAGCCGTTACTCAGCAACACTGGGATGCAGGCCGCCTGCACACAACAAAACACAGAAACACACATAATAGTATTCAGGGTCATTCAGAGACATGATGGCGGTACAAAGAGATTCATTTTGTACAGAAACGACCATAAAACTCAGTTGAAAATGCACTTGTCGTCTGTTCGCCACATTACAAGCCACCACTACACGAGTACAACACGGCGTGTGTGAGTGCAGCCCCAGCTGTTTTTGGCCAAGTGACAGTGCAGTAATGTGATCAGTGCCCTGGTGTACAGCTGCGGAAGTCGTGTCCGTGAGATTTAATATTATAATCGGCCCTCAGAAAAATAAACTTGATTAAAAATGAGAGAGTCACTCATATAAGTGATTAAAAAATGATAGATAGCATCGTTTTTTTTCTTCGTTTTTTTTCGCTTTTCTTTTTAATTATTGTTTTGCCGTCAATTATAACTAATTTGGCTTTTTTAAGGTCTGGCTTTTGGCAAGAGCTAGCTAGCTAATTTTTTTTTGTTTTACCAGTTTTGTTTTTCCTCAAAAGCAGTTTTCGATGACTGAGAGTATGATTGAATATTTATTGTTTATTTTTTTGCTTTTTTAAATAAGCATTTTTGCTTAAATTGATTTTCTTTGGTAAGGTTTTGGCTAACAGGGCTAATGTTTTTGAATTTTTGGCACTTTTCTAGCTCATTTTTGATAAATTACAGCTTACAAGTTTTGTATAATGATGACGTTTTCTTGTTATTAGATCATTTACATCGTTGTGTGATGTAACTTACTGCTTTCAGAACACGTGTAAATGCAATGTTCTGACAGGAAGAGGGATCTATGAGTATGTAAGGAGATGGAGTGGAGAAGTGGAGAAGAGAACTAGACAAGTCCTGCAGACTTCATGACTTATTTAGGCTGATTTTTTTTCTATGTTTTTTTTTTCTCTTTTCTTTTACTATTTTTTTTCTTTGGCAGTTTTTTGATGTTTCACATCTTCTGCCTTCAAGGTCCTGCTGTGTTCTCCAACTGTTTTTACTCTTTCCTTCTCTTCTTCTCCATCATCATCATCATCATCATCATCATCATCATCATCATCTTCATCTTCTTCATCTTCTTCTTCTTTGTGCGTTGCAGTGTTGCATCTGGGCTTCATTTTTTTCTAATTGATTCTCCAGAGAACATCAACAGGAGCCAAGACAGTGGAGATCAAAGGCTCTCTGCAGGTTCCTCTAGGGACCCTCACCCACGGTGTCTTCAGACTTGCTGAAGGACACTGTGGAGTAAACAGCAGGGCTTGTAGTTGCACATGGCCCACAGGTTGCACCCAGGTCATGCAGAGAATCCCCTAGAAACACCCAATTTGATGAAGCCCAGAGACTGCTGCAAGAGTTTCCTTCATCCGAGACGATGAAGATGATGCACAGTCGTGACTGGTTTGTAACATTTAAAAAAGGTTCTCATCCCTGAAGATGGAACGATATGGAGGCCTGTGTGCAGCTGCTGCTGCGCTGTAGTTTTTTTTTTTAGTTTTGGATTGTGTAAGCAAAGAAAGCCTTGAATGTCTGCAAAGGTAAAACTGCAGTGCACTGAACGACTTAATTCAATTTACTTCAAATGAAAACCATAGATACTGTATAGTACATCTAATGAATGCGTGACATGCCATGCATTGATCCATTATTTCAGTTCCTGAATCATAGGATGTGGAGACGACCTTAGGATATTTTTACTTTATCGAAATTGCCAACACTTTAAAAAATAAAGTTCCTGGTGTGTGTTGGAAAACTGGCAGTAAAGTTTGCCACCACACTAGTGGCTGCCAGTTCTTATGTGGTCTTAGCTGCTCTCTCTCTCTCTCTCTGTTTCTTTCTTTTTTTTATTTTAGTTTCTTATTTAATTTTAGGCCACAGAGATATGCTTTCCTTGGACGCAAATATGCCTAATCCTAACCCTATCTCTAATCTGACCATAATTCTACCCCAACTCTAAACTAAATTGTCAACCTCATTACACCTTTCCATTTCGTTGGGAGCTGCAAAATGTCCCACAAGGACAAAGTCTTCTTCTCTGCGATGGCATCTCCCAAATCAAATCCCCACAAGTATAGCTATACCAAGAAAGAAAACACATACACACCCAAACATGTTTACATACAAATGTGCAGCCAAGGAACCTGAAAAGTGACTCTGGCAAAATAATAGTGTTAAAGGAGAAAAAGGAGGATAAAGAGAGTAGACAGGATGAGGAATGGACTGTGGCTGCTGACTGCTGCCAAGTCAAATGGGTTTTATATGTGTGTGTGCCTGTATTTGTCCATTCAGCACACCATCAGCAGCGTGGGTATCCGCGGATACTTCCGGCCTGTTTGGTGCACACTCCAGAGAAGACTGTGGTTAGGGAGTAGTATAACGGCCAGGGATACACTGAGTGTTGTGCAAATCTAAAAACAGTTGCTGCTGCTGCTTCCTGCTGCTGCCTGCAGGGGTGTGAGACCGACAACTTGGGTGGCTGAG